TTTGTGGAAGCTTCCCATGTCCCCCTGGCCTCAGGCGTCCTGCCCTTCCTCCCACAGTGTGTGGCTCGCCCCTCCTGGCATTCCTCACGGTCTCACCTGTATGGGAGCCTCTGCCTGCATCGTATTGCCCCTGTGGAGTGAGCCCTGCTGGGTTCGAGGTTGAGGGTCTCCTAAAGTGCCAGGCCCACGTGGTCCCTTCCAGATTAGCTTCCTCTTTTCCACATGGCCCCTTCCCTCTTGCCCTGCTTGCTGAGTCTCTTGCACATGGCCTCTGCATGAGACTGGGGCTCTGCTCAGGCACCCTGCCTCCGTGCTTTTTTTCTTCAGCCTTAGCTGGGTCATCAGACCACACCCCACAAGTTGGCTGCTAGTGAGGTGCGCCTGCCATGTTGGTATGGTCTCGTCTTTCCCAGCGTGATTCCTTATAAGTTGCCCAGAGCAGGGACTTTGAGCAACTGTGCTTCTAAACTGGCAGCCTGCAAACTTTTTTGAAATTATCCCCAGTTAGACACTTTAAATTGAGACTCATTGTACTGACATAACTAGGTGTAAAGCTGAAGCAAACTGTCTTTATGTACCGTGTTTTATTGTTTTATTTTTTAAAAAAATGCTGTTATGACCAATCAAACTGATCTGCTGCTAGAACTTTGAAAAACCTTGTTCTAAATTGCTTCTGGGGGCTGGGTGCAGTGGCTCACACCCGTAATCCGAGCACTTTGGGAGGCTGAGGCGGGTGGATCACTTGAGATCAGGAGTACAAGACCAGCCTGGCCAACATGGCGACACCCCGTCTCTACTAAAAATACAAGAATTAGCTGGCCCTGGTGGTGCACGCCTGTAATCCCAGCTACTCGGGGGGGCTGAGGCAGGACAATCACTTGAACCTGGGAGGCAGAGGTTGCAATAAGCCAAGATTGCGCCACTGCACTTCAGCCTGGGTGACAGAATGAGACTCCTCAAAAATAAATAAATTCCTTCTAGGGTTGTCCAGGGTGGCAGCTGTCACTTAATTGGGCAGTTTATTTTACCTGTTAGGTAGGCTGCAGGGCTTCTGACGAGCACAGCAAGACAGGCATTATTACTTGGTTTAAACCAAGAGACTTCAAAACTTGGTCCCATTTGGAGACGGAGCTTGGGAATGAAAAGTTGGACCGAGGTGGACCACACCAGTACTTACCTGGCACCCAGAAAGGGCTTGGCACTTGAGGGAGTGAGTGGCCAGCCATTTTACATATGTTATCTCATTTGACCACCACAGTGGTCTGTACAGTTGCTACTGTTTTATAGCTGAGAGCAGGCTGAGAGACAAGACGACTCACCCAAGCCAGTACCTAGAACTCTGGTTTTCTTTCCAGAGCCTTAGCCCTTGCTAGCCCGACCCTAGGGCTGATAATCCACAACTGAGTGTTCTTTCTCCAGGTGCTGTTTCTTCCCCTCCGGGATCCTGGGAGCGAACAGTCCTCTTTCTTGTTTCTAAAGTTGGTTTGTCTGGCCTGGACAGTGAGCTTACTGTTGTCACTTCCAGGTCACCCTGGGAGAACCGGGTCTAGAGCAGGACCTGTCACCATTTCCAACGCCGTTTCTCTTCTAAAAGGCTGCCTGACGTTTTGGAAAGGGCATTTGTCTGGGATTTCAAGTATGAGCAGGCGAGGCCCCCTCTATCACTTTGTTATTTTAATCATGTCTTGGTCTGTGATTAAAACATAAGCATCTGACCCTACATCTCTGCTAATCTGTGCGCTTAATTCAGTATTTGAGGTTTCGGTCATGGTTGTGAAAACTACTGAGATTGAATCTGAATGATGGATTATTTCTGATGCATGCCTGCGAGAGGCTTGTGTGAATTCTGTGATGAGGAATGTGGCTGCGGAACCCCAGTGCGTGGCCTGTGACCCAGCTTCCTCGCTTGCCCGCTGGGCGAGTCACAGACACCTCTGGGTCCCCACATCCCTTTGGTGCACAGGGAGTGCTGGAGAAACGGCAGCCCTTGTTGGTCTGTGGCACTTGCTTTTTCTTCTCCTCAGACCTGAAACCACTGGAAAAGGCAGAAAACCGTGGCTGCCTCAGGTAGCCTGCATCCCTGCTTTTTTTTCTTGAACCTTTGTTGGGCCATCTGACCACAGCCACAGCTTCGCGCTGGTGAGGTACAGCGTGTCCTTGTGCAGCTGCCTTGTTGGCTTGGTCTGGGGTGGGGCAGCCCCTTCGGGGGACTGGTGTGGAGGGAGATGGAGTTAGCCCAGCGTGGTCTGGGGGTGGGGTAGCCCCTTCGGGGGGCTGGTGTGAAGGGAGATGGAGTTAAACCAGCGTGGTCTGGGGGTGGGGTAGCCCCTTTGGGGGGCTGGTGTGGAGGGAGATGGAGTTAACCCAGCGTGGTCTGGGGGTGGGGTAGCCCCTTCGGGGGGCTGGTGTGGAGGGGGATGGAGTTAAACCAGCGTGGTCTGGGGGTGGGGTAGCCCCTT